CTTTGTGCATTGGACTTAACTGCACTGATAAAATCTTTGCTGTCAGGAGTTTCTGTGCTCAATTATTGGCAAATGCACAAGCAGTAGCTGAGAAAAACAGTAAGGTTGGTTAGTTTTTTTGAGTTCAAGAATTTTTTAGATATTTGCAGTATACAGAATGAGTAGATTTCTGTTGTTAATTTGCAGAAACCACTACTAGAAGTTGTCAATAGAATTGTAGGAAAAGAGGGTGCTCCAATGGCCGCACCTCAGAAGAAAGAATTTGTCAAGCTGAACAAGGAAGCTGTAATTGTCATTATTCCTGATGAAGAAGAGAAAAGCCAGAGGAGTGCAAGAAAATCATCAAAGAAGATTGGAAAGCTCTGACTGGGATCCTCACTGCTCGAAGCAAGGTTCTAATTTTGAACCTCTCCCATCTTATTTTCTTGAAATTATATTGAAGTTTTTAGGTAGTCAACCCCAAATTTTTAGGGAAAGGGGTTTGTTATTTTGTTGAAGCCCCATTGCACCGTTTTGTCCTGCTGTTAACTGCTCAATTTTTCCAGGCTGCTTGTGGAATTACCAAGAAACCAAAGGATCCAATAGTTAACATTGATGCAGCAGATGTGGATAATGAATTGGCAGCCGTGGAGTATGTTGAGGATATCTACAAGTTCTACAAGCTTGCAGAGGTGTGCTATTTTCTTTCCCGTTCTCTGTTTCTCTTCGTTTTCTCATATTTATCTTGGCAAGACTTTTGTATGTGCTTCTCTTGTTATCAGGATGATGCTCGAGTTCGTGATTACATGGATTTGCAGCCGGAAATCAATTCTAAAATGAGAGAGATCCTTGTAGACTGGTTGGTTGAAGTTCACAAGAAATTTGATCTGATGCCTGAAAGTCTGTACCTCACAATCAATATAGTAGACCGTTTTCTTTCAATGAGGACTGTTTCAAGAAGGGAACTTCAGCTGGTTGGCATCAGCTCAATGCTGATTGCATGCAAGTATGAAGAGATATGGGCACCTGAGGTAGAAAAATCTCCGATTTCAAATTTATCGTTATGAAGGCTTAGTTTGTCATTTTTAGCCGTCGTAAGAGGTGTTAATTTTAATTTTTAAGGTAAGCGATTTCATAGCTATATCAGACAATGCTTATATCAGAGAACAAGTTCTACTCATGGAGAAAGCAATTCTGGGGAAATTGGAATGGTATTTGACAGTTCCAACTCCATATGTCTTTCTAGTTCGATATGCTAAAGCATCTGTCCCGGCTGATCAGGAGGTACTTGTATTATATCTTCTTGTGTAAACGGGACCATATGCTGTCTAGTCCTACAAAGATTTCTGTATGTGTTTATTTCTTGTTGATTGAGCTCTATTTTGATGCACAGATGGAGAGCATGGCATTTTTCTTTGCTGAACTTGGTTTGATGAACTACTCAACCATCATCCAGTATTGCCCCTCAAAGCTTGCTGCAGCTGCAGTCTATGCAGCCCGATGCACTCTTAACAAGACTCCCCTTTGGAATGAAACTCTTAACCACCATACAGGCTACAGCGAAGATCAGCTGATGTATGTAATATATCTCCGTCCTTAATTCTACCAGTGTATTTCTAATATATATGCTCGACTGGACAATAATAATTGCACGGCTTTGTATACAGGGAGTGCGCAAAACTCTTGGTCCAATTCCACTCTGGGGCAGCAGAAAATAAGCTCAAGGCAGTTTCACGAAAATATTCAAATCCTGATAGGGCTGCTGTTGCTCTTTTTCCACCAGCAAGAAATCTAATTCTAGCTTGAGCTCGAGAAAACCATGAATATTGGTGGTTATTTGTTCTAAGATCATTTTACTGTCATGATCTCTCTCTCTGACACTATCATTTTATTGGTGGTCAGTTTTATCAGTTCGTAGGAATTGTTCTAAGTAGTTTTGATTTACTTCCTGTAAAATCAGTGATGTATTGTAACTATTAAAACACCATTTATTAATTCAGTTACAGTGTGGTTATTGTGGAATCTTCATGAATTTTGGTGTCATCTTTCTTTTCAGTTCTTTGCTGTCTCTTTCCAGTTCCAAGTGCAGTGCTACAGTTTCTTAGGAGGGATTTAATTTTAGTGGCTTCTTTCAATGCATTCACAATCATGATAATTTCTGATTCATAACACACCTTAAAATCCCTTCGAGGCTAAACGAATTGCACAAGAGAACACACACAGTCAGTGACAACTCTAATAGGCAATGCCAAATGACAGCCAAAGCTTTCTGATTCAATTAGTAAACCTTCAAATTCTTTGAGGCTAAAGAAAACGAAAAAGGACCTACAAACACAGTGAAGCTGAGAGAAATCTTGCAGGATGCCACGAGCAGATCACCTTAACCTAATAGGCAGCTAACCTTCAGCAACCTCCATCAGGGTGCGTGTTGGATATTTTGACGCTACAAGAATCTCCGCCACTTTCCTTCACCTTTACCCAGCAACTCTTGGTATTCAGTGCTTCCTCCTCTACTTGAACTTTCCTCCGGCAACATCCTCGGGTTTGGTCCTGAACCCCAAGTTCTTCCCTCCTCTCCAGAAATTCGGAGTTCTCCTTCCAAACCTCTCCATTAGTATAGACTTCCTTCTTCCATATTGGAACTGAAGCCTTCACCTCATCTATAATAAATTTACAAGCATCCAGTCCATCTGCTCGGTGAACTGAAGATACTGCAATGAATACGCTTATATCCCCAACGGGAACTGGGCCTACGCGATGAGCAACAGCAATTGAATTGAGATTCCACGATGCTCTTGCAGAAGAACAAATGGATTTGATGCAGCGTACTGCCATTGGAACGTATGCTTCATATCTTAGCTCTAAGACCGTTTTCCCTTCAAAGGTGTCACGAGTTGTGCCGGAAAAAGTTGCTATAGCACCGCATTGTCGTGAATGAACATAGTTGATGTATTTGATGATGTCAATAGGAGTATTCTCTTCCAAGATTTCAATTAGATCTCTCTCATCAGCCATATTGACCACTTGACTCTTTTTAACAGCAAAACTTCCTGAAATGCTCCAAAATTTTATCTTTGCAAATTTTGTTAACGATGAGAGAGATATCAGAGTGCTTAATCTAATAACTTGGATGCAAGTCAACCAACCAACTTCTTTCTTATAACTACAAAAAGTCCATGTTCAGTACAAATGGCCTAAATTTAGGCAATGAAACAAAAGAGATGTGCTAAGATATAATCAAAGATCAACTTGACTTGAGAATTAGACATGGCAGTTCAAGGAAAACCATTCAGCTTTGTTCTTTTCATGAAGTGGCCAGAACAAGAATTTTCTTGTAGTTGATTTGAGCATGTTATGCTAAGCTCAAGTAATTTTTAAAATAAATAATTTTTTATTGGATGCCGGAAACATTACTTGTACGAGAACGGAAAAAAATATGTAATAAACAAGCTCACCAAGTTGAAAGCTAGATGAAAAGAACGAGTGATTCTTAGCCTACCTAAATACCAAAAGCAGATTTTATTGCTAGATTACTAGAGAGTGACAAAATATATGTACGGCATGTCATTTCTATTCATGAGGAACCTTAATAAAAGGACAAAAAAAAACACTTATAATTTAACTCAAATTAAATGCATCAAATGGACTATAACAAATATGCTTTGCTTTCCCTGCATTCAAGTTTTTCCCAAAATATTACAGGTTAAAACTCTACTCATTAGTAAAGCATTTTTCCAGGAACAAATTTTCCTTTTTCGTGTTCAGTGCAAATTATTAAAGAATTATTGTTCTATGAAATTCAACCAAACCCTAGTTTTTATGCCTTCCAGAATTGAATTCTAATTCCAATGAAAACCTCTTTTCAGTTAAAAATTCAATCTTTTCAACACCGTTAAGCTCCTACTTCAAAGCCCCATTCTTCCATTCACTGAAAAATAGGGACAAACCCTCAAAAAACCCAATACTCCGTTATCATACGACCCGCGAATTCAGGAAAAAAATACTAATATTTTTGCTATTTGTACATATTCAAATTAGGCAAGATCGCTTAACTTTCAATAGTGATAAAAAGTCAAATGAAGAATATATGGCCATTTTCTGAGAAAACAGCTAATTAAATAATTCTGACCTTATGCTTTGAACGAAAAAATGATTCCGGTTGGCAAGCACTGAACTGTGAATTATATGGCCATTTTCCCTTTCTTAGGTTTTATGGATTCGTATTGCTGTGGTGGAGGAAATACAAGCAAATAACCTTGTCTAATTCCACGATGAACTTTGACTAAGAAATAAAATAAAAAATAAATAAAAAATGGTGAAAATATAACTTTAGTTGAAAAAAGTCCAAAATACCCTAATTTTTTTCAAAGGATCTCACTCAAGGATCTGGGCCGACTGTGGCCCGGCTATCACTTGGGCCAAAACCGGCCCCGATCACTAAATTTCTGGGCCGACTGTTAAGTCAGCCCATATATATATATTTTTTTATTTTTTAATAATTTAATATAATAAATGGTATAATAAATTAATATTTATATAATTAAATATTTTACTTAATTTAATAAAAGTAATATAATTAAATATTTTACCCATTTCATTAAAATTAATATAATTACATAAATGATTTACGTAGTTGAATAATTAAATATTTTACTTAATTTAAAAAATCGAATATGAAATAAATATTTATAGAATTAAATATTTGACGTAAT